TGAACGAATCACGCGCTCGAAACGGAACTCCGAATGCAATTTTCTCCAGCTGGCTTCGATAACCGTTTCGTACCGGCGTCTAATCGGCGAAGGTGAACGCGGTTTATGAATGGCATTATCAGGGACAGTTGACATAATAACTGTACCCGCGTGTCACGGAATATCCCGACGGCAATTAAGCACCGGCGTTGAAACGCAGTCGGCCCGCGGAACGAACTGTGAAATAGCAGAAATTAAGCCGGGTATTAAATCTGCATTCCTTCCGTCCCGCTCGTTCTGCCCGTTACCGCGATAAAGCGCCAATCTAAATTAATTTGTCGAATCGATACGGTGCGTCGAGGGACGCCGGGACATTCATAACGACGTGGATTCGCGTCGACTATTGATCACAGACCTCTCGATCCGGCGCTTACGAAAATGGGTCATTACTCCACTTTTTCAATCGGATACAGTTCTTCACACGCCATTCGTAAACACGTGAGAATACGAATTAAATTCTGAACACTGTGGCATATCTGCACTGAGACGAAAACAGCATCTAAACGAATGAGTTTACGAACAGAAAGTGATTGACAAGTTAATCCCTTCATCCCCTCTTCAGTTACAGTAGAATATTCCATGAAGCATAAATTCCAATGACTTATTAAAAAAAAGAAAAATAGTGCAATCCTTGGAGACACTACCCTGAAATGAGAAAAACCCAGAAATGGTTCTCCACGTCTCCTAAGACAATGGAGCGCAGATAAAATGTTTTCGTATCGTTATCGGCTCGAATAGAAACTGATTACGGCGGCAAGATCAAAACGTCAGGTGACCGTTCGTGGTTGTGTGGACATGGTAACGTGTCCCGAGAAAAATCGTGCACGATACAAACGAGTATTATCGAGAGATCGATGGCAACACGATAACTTTCTACTCGAGAATCGTTGTTACGCAATTACGTGAGGGAAACACAGGGAGAAATTTTAGTGTCGCGCGAACGAAGTGAGTCACGTTTAACGGAGCATCAAACGATTCGTTTATCGCGGATATCGCCGGGGTTTTCGTTCATTTTGTCGTCGGATCCGTATAATTTTGGCCAATCGCGAGGTGGCCAGCCGTTATCGGAAGGGACACGCGCTGATTGGCCCGATTTCCCGGCAGGTGGACGATGGAAATTCGTTGTAAACCGTGTAAATATGGACACCCGATATCTCCGATATACGCTTCATTGAACTCTGCTCACCTCACGCTATTACCTTGTCCTATTTACGAGCAGTCGGCCAGCTGTCCCGTTAATTAAATCGGGCCACGGAAGAGTGTCGAGATAAGAAAACCCAGAAGTTTTTGGTACAGAGATAACGGAGCCTCGAGCCGTGACTCCTGAAGTGTTTCGGTTCAATTCTGTCCAACGTTTCATTACGATCGATAAAAGTTCTTCGAATCTGTCACGTAGTTTGCCACTTCTCACGGTTTATTATTCTACGAATCACTAAATGTCTACCAGTTTCGACGAATGATGATAGCATGCGATCAAAGTTAATTGAACAGTTGTTGGAGAAATCGTTAAATTAAGAATCATACAAAAATATGGACAAGCAAACGTAACTGGTCTACCTGACTTAACAAGTTAGTAACAGCTTCAGTTTATTGATCCTGCCGGAGTAATATTGAATTATAATTTATTTTTCCTCCTGGTAGGTCCACGTGTCTCCGTCTCAATCAGCATCGATTCCAATCGACTGTTGAATTTATAAACGAAAAAATTCAGAATATTTAATTTTATTCCGACTCGAACAAAGCCGCGCCGGGAATCCTTGGTGCTCGGAGAGCCTCTCGTTTGCTCCGATTCGATCGGAAACAGTCTCGCGGGGCATTCCGGCCGCGGGCGGAGCAGGGGGATAGATGAATCGACATCGTCCAAAAGCAACCAATTAGTATAATTATACCGATAAATTCAAATTTAATTGGCTCTGCTTCCTGCCTCGCCTCTCGGGGAATCCGTGGCGAATTCTCGTATCAAAATAATAATAATACGCCCCACGATTATCTCTAAGCCCCGATGCATTTCGTGGAACCGCTATGCAAACCGTTCCATTTCGTCTGGAAACAACAAGCGTGTTGGTAACGCGTGCCTCGTATTGCGCTGAAAATAACAAAAATCGAAAGGAACGAAAAAATGGAAAGTATTGAAAAAATTCCCGGTGGTATACACCGTGTGTGCCTCGTTTGTCCGCGGTGCGATTCGAGCTGACCTTTCACTTCAGCCAGGATTAATGCACTTATCGTTCGCAACGGACACGATTGTAACGAGAAACGGAAAACGTTCGTCGTGGTTAATAAATGCAGAATCTCATTATCGGTCCTCTTTCTTCCACCCTCCCCCTCGGTGACTGTGCGTCGCTTCAAATGGTTCTCGCAACATCTGGCGGACCTGCTTGTGTTTTCCCGGCTTGAATTTTTTTATCGTTTCTCTACCTCCTGGTGGCCGAGTATATTCGCACACGCTCGAGCGTGGATATAAATTGGCCGAAACCGCGCGATATCGATCTTGCGTCTATATTTCTATACGTCTACGTCAACTGGACTTTATCGGCGTATCGCTCCGATGTAACCGTGATTAAGCAACATTTCGCTAAGCGAGCACCGATTCCATCGTGGACTGAGGAGGGGAAGAAAGTCCTGGGCAAGAACATTCTGCCAGGCACGAACTGATTCGATTACTTCGTACTCGATATACTCGGCGAATTCCGAGGAGAATGTCTATTAATCGCACGCGTGTTTCCCGCGAGGAAACGTCGATTATATGTTGATAGATCCTGGACGTTACACCGAGTGAAAAACGCTGTGGCAACATGTGTCCAATTTGAATCGATCGCGGAGATATGTATGTAAATCTGAAAACGTTGAAACACGCTAGAACTGTAAGGTTGAATTTTTTTTCTTAGGTCTCATGTATGTAAAGTCTGGTGTGCTCGGTAACCTAACTGAACTGGTGATCTACTGGATGTGGGAATCACTACGAAATACTTCTAGACAGTGAACAATAATTGTTCAAGTTGTGTAGCTATTTCTTTACCAGAGCAGAAGCTATAGAATATTTATAGTTAATTCAATTATTATCGATGCCACCAGAATTGTTAAGGAATACTTTACGTACATCTCGAACAGGTCATCCACTATCTTCCTGTTTCTCAGATAATATTCGTCACGATTCTAATGTCGACGGTAGCTTAATTACCCGCGTCGACACATTCGTCGAGCATTACGCGAGTAGATTATCATCGAGTGCAAACTGGAGTGAAAACTACCCTCTGTCTTGGACGGTATTATTAGCCGAATTTCTTTCGAGCGGAGAACGAGCAGTGTCTTTGCACGAGAAACGCATGTTTCACAAGATTCCCGGTGGCGGTGGGTCCGCGAGTAGCTCGCGAGGGATTTCCCCCTTCCCACCACCCTCCTGAAATATAACCGCGAATCCATCACGGAGTCCTCGTTAGAAGCGTCGCACGTCTTCCGCGAACCGAAACTTAAACGAGATTATCGCTACCCGCTCTCGGCAGCCGGCCGTGAATAATTCGACGCAGCCTGCGACGAAGAAGAAGAAGAAGAAGAAGAAGAAGAAGACGAGACAGTGATGGAGGGGGGTTGGGGGTGGTGTGAGAGGACGATAGCGGGAGAGACGCGTCCCGAGGCACCATCGCCGGGATTCCAAGCTAATTCGTGGCAAGACCACGCGCTAATCCGTCTTAAGTTAAGGCCGCGCGAGTAATAATCGCCCGGCACGCCTAGCTCGACGGGCCAATCAATCTGTGCAGTCGCGCATATTTTACGGGGACGTGAAAACGTTACAAAGCGTATTGCAAAAGCTGTAATGCTCTCCGCCCGCGACGTGACGCGACGTTCTCCGCTTTCCGTGGACCAGGGGGCTAATAAACCGTTTAATGATTGTACGTTTATAAATACGTACCGGCTCGTAACTCTTCCGATTAGTCGTGGCACGTGTAATTTGCCTGATTTATAGCTGGCGAACGATCCGTTGGACCGACAACGCGTCGAATTTTCCCGCGGGGGTGGCCGTCGAGCGCAGATTTCCGAAACGTTTGCACACGTCAAGTTAGTGCGTTACGTGTTTCGAGCACGCGTTCGGTAACGGTGCTGGTTACACACACATATACATGTGTACGGATATAATCGTTTGACGTAATAGCGTATTATTATTGGTAAAATGTTGCGGGGAACGATGCATGACGGATGTAATTAAGATCCGATCATTTTTATCGGGTCTGTTTACGCGGAAACGAAAATTAGTCGACAGGGGAAAAACTCTCGATTAGCGGTGCCTTGTACACGGTGGTATTTAACTAATGGATGATATTGAAACAAACAGTACGACGGGCAAATGTCGTGAACGCAAAAAGTCCCGCGTAAAAAGAATCAATGTATCATTAAATAGAATTTGAAAAAAAATTCCAATCAAACTCGTAGAATGGCAAGGGTAACCTTTTTATCGATGCTGTCTAGTTCGAGACACAAGTCTAAAAACAACTTTGTAACGTCAACAGAATTCGCAATCTGTAATTACGTCGACGTTCGAGACGTCGAGGCTTGAGGACTAGAGGTTCGAGACCTAAAATTATGAAACGTAAGGGTTCGAAACGTAGATGTTCGAAGCATAAAGGTTCAAGGCCCAGAAATTCGAGGCTTAGAGATTCGTGGCCTAAAGATTCGAGGCCTAAAGATTCGAGGCCTAAAGATTCGAGGTCTAAAGATTTGAGGCCTAAAGATTTGAGGCCCCGAGACTGGAGACCCAGAGTTCGAGGCCCAGAGATTCGAGGCCTAGAGGTTCGAAGCGTAGATGTTCGAGGCTTAGAAGTTGGAGGCATCAAAATTCGAGATGTCGAGGCTCGTGGTGTCGACGGTCAAGACGTCAATGATGACATAATCGACCCATAAATCGTCAACCGAACCAATCGAATAATTATCGGCGACCTTCGGCACAAAACAAAGCGAAAACTCACCAAAGGAGGATAGAACGCGGAGCTGTCCATGCTGATGCTGGGATAGGGCCCCTGGTCGGTGGTGGATGGCGTCGGCGTAGGGTATGAGGAGTAAGAGGTCGCCGTGGGCGCTAGCCTGGGGTAGGCTCCAAGGGCGAGCCTCGCCGCGCTGTCGTACTGACAACTGCAGACCGTTTGTCCTGTGACCGGATCCGTCATCATGGGCCTGCCGTTCTCGCAGCAACCGGGCCCGGTGGTGCCGCCGACGGGGGTGCTCGCCCCACCTGATGCCGCCGCGGCTGCGGCCCCCGTCGTCGTCGACGAGGACGGTGACAACGCTCCCGGACTCAGCGCACCACCCGACGACATCGCCGGCGACGTCGCCGTCGTCGGCTGTCCACCGCTCACCAGCAGCTGAAACATTCAGAAATGATTTAAGTTAGCTTGATCCATAGAGGAATAAAATTGGAGCCTTATTTCATTGGGTGTACCAATAAGTAATCCATCATTTCTGGTTAATAATGTTAAGAGTTATAATTTCAAACGTCTTTACACCCTTCTTAGCGGTCTTTCAAAATGGCGGCAGACATTGAAGAAAGGGGACAAATATCACTTGAAATTGCATAGGTTTCTGATTTTATTCAAAATAGATAGAGAATTGAATAACTCTTATGGATTACTTATTGATGCACATAATAGAATATTCCTTGCATATATGTAATTAGCTGCGTATCGAACACAGTGGAAACAAAAGATTGATGATGTTGGGGGTTGTAAACAGAGTCGACGAACAGGATTCTCAGGGGTAATAGTGTATTTTGTGGTAAGAGATTTCTAAAATTATTTAACCTTATAATAGATATATATATATATATAGACAAAATACAAACAATGTTTCGAAGGAAAGCTATTGTAGTGTTTATTGTTATTGTTACACCAAATGACTCGTGAAAACGGAGCATACCACTAGTTTGTGGAAGAACTTCGTCACGGTCTAGTTGATAAACCACTCGATAAAGATAACATCGTATACGATCTTGTTGATGGGATCGTAAGTGATAGTAAGATGGACTACATAACAACACAGGTAGTACCGTTAATTTGATTAATATTGAGAGGCACACGTTGTGTAAATCAAAAATAAATGCTTGTCAAGCACATCTGAAGGAGTAGCTTAACTTAAGCCTACATCACACGGATCCCCCATTCAGTTTGAGTATCATAATCGCTTATGAGCCTCGCCCTATCTTGATTCTTTAACGGGCGAGAAATATGTGCATGTAACGCGATAAAATACAGTATTATAAAAAAAATATTCATTTACACCAGCTGTGTATGCACATCGAAGCTCGTTTATCCTTCTGCTCCGTTTGGAAATGCTAACCCTGTTACAAAAATTTCCAATCTACACGATATACAGTGAAACCGAGGACCAAAGAGACACGTGGCCAGCGTCGAAATCGGTCAAGGAAAATAAACGACTCGGAACGATCTTCTCGAGAAAAAAAATAACGCCAACGTAAAGGGTTAATGGCGATAATGACGGTAATTGCGAAAGCAGGTGATATCCGCTTATCGCCGCGGATCCGATTATAAATGCGTGCTCGATAACTCGATAGCAATTTCGTGTTACTTTAATGGACGATAATCGGAACGGGGACCAGCGAGCCGGTATCTCTCGTTATTAAACAACAGTGACGACACTCGACAATTAATTCCCCTGAAAGGATCCCCACCCAGTGGCGAGGGAAAACACCGTACGAGTGATCCGTTCTGTAAAAATTCTTTTTTCATCGAAATCGAAATTTAAATACACCGAAATGTTTCCTCTTCTTTATTTTTTGCTCTCTCCTCGTACCTTCTCTTTCATCGGTTTCCGCCGTTCAGGTGGAATCGCGGTGCGAGATCAATGCAGAACGCGTTCTTGGCGATCGCGGCGCTTCGATAGCGATAATTGTCACATAATTTCGCGTAATGACGACGCCCCGGTATTATATCGTGGATCTTGGTTTTCGAGACCGGCACGAATAAATTAAACGGAAATTTATCGACGAGCAGTATGTGGAAGTCAAATTGCCCGGCACCGTTCATATATCAGCGAACCGTGTTTGCACTTTTGCAAACCGTGGCTACACACACACACACAAACACGGTCCCACTCGGAAATTGAACCTCGTTATATGTTAATGCGGATAGCGAACGCACGCGCGTCCCTCTACTGCGAACCCCCCACATTTGTCACTGCTATCGGCGCGAAACTCGAACACGTGAAACGGCCGGCCGACTTGGAACGATAGCAAATACCTTGTCGTGTGTACACACGTATTCGCGGGTAATTGGTACAAGGCGAACCGGGACGAAACAAAAAGAAGAGTTTTGCTTCTAACAATGGATTATTGTGTCACTGACACCGCCGCGGTAAAATGTAAATAAACGCTGATAAACGGTCACTTTCGTAATTTCTTCGCGCGAACCATTTTCGTTTGTCAACGGTGGAAAAAAAATCGGAGCGATTTCTATAATTGGAATTGAAAATAGGTGTAATATAGCCATCGTTTAGGTAGATATGTAGTGTAGGAAAATGATATTTTGTACGGAAAAATTTCGCTGGGAAATTGAAAGGGAAGTATATATTTCTAATGACGTTGTTAACGACGAATAGATTAGATTTGCGTGAGGCAATCTTTGATACGACTCCGTTTGAGGAATATCATTAAATGGAAATATATCCAAAGGGTACTTTTTACTCGCTCCGGTTGAATAATGATCGCTGGATCTGGTTTCGAAACACGCTGGCTTAAAAAGTACCGGTAATTAGTGTCACTAATGAACATCGTGTCCGTGTAATCGAACACGCTCGTAATTTGCATCATATGGAAGTCGAAGAGAACGAGATCGGTTATCGTGCAAGGAAAACGAGACATTAGCGACGCCAGGATGAACGGTTAATTGAACTTAATAATTACTACAATATACAACCGAGGCGGGGGGGGGGGGGAAAAAAAGCCACTGTACGTATTGGTGCGTTATAAAATAGTCGTACCTGTTGCACGTCTATAAAAATGGAGAGCAAACAAGTAAATATCGGAAGTCAATCAACATTACCGATAATTTATATGCCAAGAGTATCTTAATCGAGAACTGCAAAATAGTTTACATAATAATTTTTTGTTAATTATTCCGTCGCAGAGTCGTTTCCACTTCGTTGGCTTACCAGTTGATCACCTGACTTGCTCTTAAATATTCCGAAACTTCCGTTTCATTTGAATAATTCTGCAATTACGAAGCTTTGTGTTTATAACAGTTTTGTGTACTGGCACTTATATTTCTCTCGTTTAAAGTCATACATCGCTATACATAATCATCGCCTTACTCGTATGAATACAGATGGACCGGGTTTCATGGTTGGATCAGACACTGGAGACATAACGGAGACCGAAAAAAAAACAAAAAACGGGAAAAAAGTACAAAAGTGTCGCTCGAGTGACGATGTAAGTTGATTTCGTTTTTGCTATAGGTGAGCAAGAGCCCACTCTAAAAGTGGTGGAGTGCTCTTAAGCCTTCGGCTGCTCTCAAGAGGCTCCATCTTCCAGACACATGGTCCCATCAAGAAAACCGAAGGAACCGTATCACGCGACAATTTCAACGAAAATTTCACAAAATAGACAGGAACCTAAAGATTACAACAATCTTCTTTAACCACTCGGTTCAAACGAAGGTAATCCTACTTAACCACTTAAAATTCAAATAAACACCCACCCCCGTATAATCATCCCCAACTTCAAACTCACGAAATCGAGCGCACCTATCCCTCCTCGAGGGATAAATTTCTCTCCCCCACTTTTTCGAGTTCCCTCGACTCTAAATCCACCGAACTTAACGAACCCGGCCGCGATTAATCGCTTCTCGGGGCACGAAGCGCGCGTATAGGTCCTCATCGTCTGTTTCGCCTCAAGAGAAAGAGAAAGAGCTCTGTCGCTTTGAGAGGGAGTGGTCCCGTACATATATCGCGTAGGTTTCACCGCGGTAAATTAGCTCGCGGTAAATGAGGATGAAATGAATCCCGGGTAATTAATACGGCAGGAGAGTTATTTCGAGCCTCGAAGCGAGGTAAGAGAACGAGACACACAGAAAGGGATAGAGCATGAGGCAACTGGGTGGTGTATCGTCGCGTTGATGAAGCATCTTCTACCGCCGCGTATTCCGGTCCCGTTCGAAACAAGAGGGGGTGGGTGGGGGAGGATCGGCGACGGAAGCGTCGGAAAACTCACGTACCGTCTTTCTATTCGTAGATCGGTGTGTCGAAATCGGTCAGGCTCGCCCACGGGGAAACGTGATGAATAGGATCAACGAAAGCATTATTTTCTCGCGGGCACGATTTTCCCCGCGGCGCTTTGTTTTCGCTCGTTCTCGCGCTGCGAAGCGAGGTGGGGATTCGATTGACACAAAAGCTCGAAAAGAAACCGAAAAAGAACGAAAAAAAAAAAAAGAAAATAATGAAGAAGAAAACAGAGACTGTCGCCTCCGTTTTGTCTTCTTGGTTCTTTTTCGACTTTTTTTTATATGTATATATATATATATATTGCGACCGCGGCTATATTTTTCGCAGCGCGGACGTGTTTACGAAAAACGGGATTCCACGTCGCGCTAAATAGTCGTAAGATATTTCGACGCCTCTACCGCGCGGCACGGGCTACAAATTTCCCCCCTTCGCGATAATTTATCGCCCGGCGATACCCAAATAGCGTCCCGCCGTGAAATTGGACGACGTCCTCGTCGTCGTTCTCGCCGATCATCCGTGGATCCCGCCCCGAGGAACCCACGAGAGAAAGAGAGAATCGTCGTCCCTCCGCCATTTCTGGTCCCGCGGAGTTTTAATTTATTTCGATCAACGACGGCGTAACTTTCCCGAGGGAACGAGCCCAGGGCACCCGTTGTTGTTGATCACCCCCGTATATCTCTCTCTCTCTTTTTCAACCTCGAGAGGACCGGATGAGGATTCCGGTGCCGCGATATTGTCTCAGGTGGCAGGAGATGTTGGCGAATCCTTTAATTAAACCGACACGTTCGCCATAATCGTTTACCAGTTCCGCCGTTTCTCTATTTCCACGGCGAAAACGGGTCCTGTATCTCTCTTTCTCTCTCTTCGTCGCTCTTGGTCTTCACCTTTTCGAGTAGCTCTCCGTTCGTTCGCGCGCTCCGAGAGAAGCCGATGCAAAAATAGACGAGAAAAAAACGGCCAGCCACCCGAAGACCCGGCCTCGGGAAGAGAACGAGGTAAACCGAACTTTCGTGAACAAAGAGCCGAGAGGAGGAGGTGGAGGTGGTGGAGCACACCTCGAGGCCGTGACACACGCACGAATGTGTTGTGTCCCCTTCGGCTGGCGTGTGCACACGCGTAAAGGACCCTTTGG